TGCGTGGCGTGCGTGCGTGCGTGCGTGCGTGCGTGCGTGCGTGCGTGCGTGCGTGTAAATAGAGGTGTATGTGGATAGTTTAATAAGTCTGAATCTAATTTTATATATAAAATTTATAATTTTTATATATAAAAATTCTATCTTTATGTGTATTACTGCAGTCACACGCACCCATGCACTCTCATTAGTGATTTCATGTTGTTTAAAAATAAAAAAAATTTTTTATTTTTTATTTTCTGTTCACTAATGTATTTGTTTAATTAAATAAAAATATGTATTAAAATGTATTTGTATAATTATCAGAAAGTAAAACGATTATTTTATATACGAAATATTTTATATTTTGTTAAAATATAAAATATATCGGAATAAAGTATGAAATATGTCATAAATTGTTGTTTTTTTTAATAATATGTTCTTAATGCTTCTATGTATTGTACAATTGAAGAAATTATATTATGTGAAAAAATTATATGATTTTAAACAGTAGCAATGACGTTAATGAATCTTGAAAATTTTTTTAATCAAATTTTTTGTTTAAAAAGTTTTGTTGCATATTTTTGAATTATTTTTAAACAACTATTATATGATTTGCCGTTTATTTCTTATCATTTATTATAAAATAGAAATTTTTATTTTGATATTTTTTTTTATTAGGTGTTGATTCAACAAAGATATTCAATATAGATTATTTGGACATGAAGGAGAAAAAGCAACTAAAAAGAAAGAGTGTTTCTAGCAAAGACTTTGATCTTGATAAATTTGAAACTGATATGGGCTGGAAATCTACGAACATGATTTTTGAACCAGTGAAAATATCGGTGCATACAAGAGAAGAAGTCGATCCATTGAGCAGGATTTTAGAAAAGAGCATTATAAAGTCTAATTTTGAACAATTGCATGTTATACCATCTTATGAATTAAGCAAACATCAATTAGAGAAGCACAAACGACGTGAAAAACAAAATTTGGGAATGGATGCAAGGTGGTTTAATATGCGTGCACCTGAAATAACGCCAGAAATCAAACATAATCTTGAAGTAATAAGGATGAGATCTACTTTGGATCCAAAACATTTCTATAAGAAAAATGATATGGAAGCATTACCAAAATATTTCCATGTCGGCAAAGTTATCGATTCTCCGATAGATTTTTACTCCTCTCGTCTTACAAAGAAAGAGCATAAAAAAACAATCATTGACGAACTTATGGCAGATGCTGCATTTACAAAATATAACAAACGTAAATATAAGGAAATTATTGAAGAAAATCAAAAAACACACTATAAAGTATATAAACGTACAAGGAGGCTTAAAACGAAGAAGAGAATATAATATGTTTATAGAAAGCTTATTTTATATAGCATACAAAAGTATTGTTAAAAATTAATTACTATTATTAAAAATTGGTACTAACATACATATCTTTAATCAATTCATATCTTTAAATATTGTTTCCTTACTATATAAGAATATATTAAGAATATAATATAGAAATATATTGAATAACTCAATATCATATGTTTCTTTAATGATTCTTATTGATATTATTATTAATAATAGAATTGCATTGTTAATCCATAATTAGAAAAACTTTGGTTATTTCTTTTTTATTTTGTAATTAAAGTATTTTGTAATTAGAGAAATATTTTGCAAATGGAGATTGATTATATCATTGAAGCAATTTTTGTTAATTTTTATCAAGAATTTGAAATGGTCCGATTGCTTACATTGCCAATTGCTCAATCAAATATTAAATTTTGGGAGTTTTGTTTGACTGGGAGAGTCCCGTTAGCGCACAATGCGATAGCACACATCCACACATCAGCTGCTGCTTAGGAATCTTCCAATGGATCACCAATCAGAAAATTTTATATTTAATTGACCAATCAGTGTTGTGTGCTATCGGATCTCTCTCGTTTGACGTTGCAATTAGACATAGCCATTTACAGCGATGCGTAGAGATTTTCCACCCGATCAACCAAATAATTTTGATTTTAATAAAAAAGATTTCTTAATCAAGAAGATTTATAAAGTTCATTGCGCATTGTTTACCGCGCGTTTTCTCATTGCTCCTTGTTTGTTAATTTTTTCAAATAATTTTGTTTTAAATTGACCAATCGGCAACGTGGACAATTGGGCACCATCCTAAATTTTTAATAAATGATCCATTAGAAAATTTCTATGCACAGTATAAGTGAACATGTTCGATCGCAATATGGTCAAATGGGACGTTATGTGATACTTCCCAAATTAATAAAAATGGTAGAAAACAAAAAAAAAATTAATGGAATTGATCGAACTAGAATTTACAAAGTAAATTCTTTGTTCATTACTTACGACATTTAAGCTCGCGATACACTTTTCTAACTTGCGTGTTTCTGTGTTGGCTATCTTGCTAGTGATTTGTTAGAAATTTGTTAAAAATTTGTTAGAAATTGTACAGTCTCATAACAACAATACTGACTGCACTGCTAGATTTTTGTGATAAATTTGGTAGTATTTTCTTTTTGCGTGTTTTATCTGACTTATTGCGAAAACTAATCAGGATGCAGTTTTATTATGTAAAAGTTTTTGCATAGTTTTGTAAAAATGCAATTATAGAAAAGTTTTTCCATAGATATATATAGGATCTGTTTTTTTTAGCTAAACTGGTTGCAGAGTTTGTCTTTCTTCTTCCAGTGTAAGAAAGAAAGAGATAAACTGTAAACTAGTACAATCAATTCAACCAAAAAGAACAGGCCTATAATAAACTCAACATTAGTTATATATACATTAGTCCTTGGCAGATTGGTGTGAGAGGCAAAGGCTGATAGCAGAGAACGAGATGTAAACGCTTACATTTACCATAAACGTAGACGTAGGTTAAGGCAGAGAAAAATGTATACGTATCCAATAACTTTTCATGTATACGTGTAACCTCTTACTTATATATTTTTCTCTGCCTTAACTCTACGTTTACGTTTACGGTAAACGTAACCCTGGATTCTCATACAGACGCCGAGCGCTGATTGGTGAAAAACGGATAATGGGAGTAAATAGTAAAGATTCGTTCGCCGTTTTATCCCCACTACCCATTTTTCACCAATCAGCATCTGTGTCAAAGCACTGATGTCTGAGAATCCAGGCTAAGCGCTTATGGCTCTTGAGGTGCTTACGATAATCCAAGTTCGAGTTAGTTTCACTAGGACCAAAAAATATAATACACATAACCATTTAGTATCTTCATGAGTCATGACAACTTAACTCAATGCTGTCTTATATTCCCTGAGTTGAGTTAGCTGTGATTAGAAGATATCGAAGATATTATAGGTGCATCCAGAAGCGCAACGCGCAGTGAGCGCTTAGTAGCTGCTAACTACATTCTCTAGATATATACACTGGATGCGAGCGCTCGTTGAGTCGCTCATAGTGAACGGTTGCCATGTTTGAGAGTAATTTTATGTCGCTCATCATCGCTCACTATCACTTCATTATTTAAGTATTTTAATTTACCTCCATTGTGCGTTTCATTCGAAAATGAGCGTGAAAATCGTCTAAAGAATATTGCAAAACAGTTATTTCGTAATAATTTTCATTACGAACATGTAACATTCTATGAGCTCCTAACAACTCATTTTCCAAATCTACATCTAAGAAATAATATTCTACGATTTGTACAATGTTATCGTCTTCACTTATTTTTCGAGAATAAGATGAATAATAATTGTGTCGACTTATTATTCTATTACTACGTTTACACGACGACATTAATTCGGCAACAACCATAATAAGAGAGAGATCTTGCATTCGATTGGTATATTCTTGTAAATCTAAAAATGTGCTCCAATTAAATCACTGCAAAAGATCACTAACTAACGGTTGTTACTAAGCCGAATTAACGTCGCCGTGTAAACGTAATACAGAGTGATTCAGAACAATCATTTGTCCTTAAAGAAGCGTATTCCTAATTTTATTCTAAGACAATTTTTCCTTTACCAAAATTTTATCCGAAGCTTAATTTTTAAATATATATTATAAGCAGAAATAGTTTATCAATTATGAGCTGAGTATAGAAGGTAGGCAGGGAGGGCGCAACTCACCGTTCGAATGATTACGCGGGGCGCTGCGATCAGCTGCTTTGCTATGAGACATAAACACACATGCACATTCGCGCTCGCACGCATGCATGCACACATACACGCACGCACACGCACACGCATATACATACTTATCTTGTAAAAATTCGATGCTTCGTACCTTGTAAAAAACGGACAGATAATTTCACTCGCCGTGATAGCAACTCTTTTCCATGTGACAAATCCACACCGAATAAATCAAATTTTTTTTAAATTATATCAATACTCATGCACTCGATTGATTTATAAAAATCCAAATCTATCAGTCTATCACTATTAACCGCTACCGACTAATTATTTGACGACTGAGAATTACTCAAATTAAACAGTAGGGAGCGTCCCAGATACGCATTTTCAATCGGACACACCACTCACATCAATCAATGCCTAGGAATTTTCTAATGAGTCACCTATCAAAAATTTTTTATTTAATCGATCAATCGGCAATGTGTCCGATTGGACCTCACCCTTACTGACGCACTCGATCGATAAAATAAAGTCTTTACGAATGAATCGATTCATCAGTAATAATCACTATCAGTTAATCGTTCGGCGAATGAGAATACTTGATGAAAAAAAAACACATGTATAATCACAATAATCAATATTTATAAACACATATCAACACTTTTACGCACATGATCAATAAATCGAAAAATTCACGAATAATAAATTACAAAGTAATAAATTATATTTAATTATTACCGATTAATCGGCTGGTTTTGAAATCATTTGATAAAAATGCGTTACATACACGACACACGTTAGACATCCATCGACTCCTGTTATACTTCGAGCTGCTCAAAGTTTATATGAAACTGGCAGTGTCCTCTCAAACAAACACGACACTGGAAGAGATCGCGAGGCAAGAATTGACGGAATATGGAGACAGTTGTACGTGCTTTCGAGCAAAAATTCGGAAACGAGTAATTGGATCG